CCAATTTGGTCTGGGCCCGAGGTGAGCTTAATAACCGGCGACTACTGTATATTGTTCCTAACACTCTGGCCTTTCCAAGACTTCTCTCCCATCTCCTAAGGAACCGGGCCTGGAAGATCGCAGTCGTTAGGGTTAAACCTTCTTAGCCTTAACTCCTCGCAATAGATTTGCATTAACAAATTACAAAGTGGGAGTAAAAATTACATTCAGATTGAACCTTAGGATAAGCTCCCAAGTTCTCCTTAGCCGGCTAATAAGTTAGAAATGGTCATTTAAATGAAAGAACAACTGACAACATATTTAACTTTACAAGGGTATTGAAAATAAATGTGGAAAATGCATTCTGCTTGAAAAGTCATTTCACAGAGCGTAGTTTCTGAGATCAACCAGCAAACAGCTTATTAAAAAGCTAACATTCTGACGTGATTTACAGATATCTTGGGATCATACTATGCGGTGCTATAGCGCTACTCAAATAACATTTTACACTCGAATAAATATTTCCGAATCACGGTTAGCATTACATGAGATAGCAAATCTGCTCTATACCCGATTGCAGCTGAATGAAAGATCCGAGCTTCCAATTCCAGGTACCCATAAGTTAGCATAGTGTATGGATGGCTGATGATGGCCTATAAGCCAGAAACGCCCAACACTCCACAAAAATGTCTACCCCCAGTTCGTGGGTACTTACTATCTATCTATTTTTGTCTGATAGCCTTTTTTTGTCCCTGCAGGTCAACACTGATCGAAAACTCCACTTCCCCTTTACGAACTGTGATGATATTGAGGATGGTCGTCGGGTGCTGCTGGATGACACCGAACTGCCCTTCCCTTGGCTCTATGGAAAATTCCTAGAGGGTGACTTTTTGGTCATCAAGATGGGCGGGAAGGTAGTGCTGCGATATTCTCCTCGCAGTCGTCATCTGATCCATTACCTAACGGATGCCAGTGCCTACAGCCATCGGACCAATCGCAGCGTCATAGTCTCCTTGCTGGTTGATCGACAGCTCATCAATCAGCCAACCGAAGTCCTGGTGGAATCCCAGTCGACAGTTGTAGCCCAACCAGTCGGCAGACGGTTCAACAGTCCTGACGGAGAGTCCGGTTATTTCGTCGAGGAGCCTGTGAGAGGTCGTCCAAAGTGGCCGGGCTACTTCAAC